GATCGAAAGTGGAAATATCGAAAGGCAAAACGCCGAAAATCCAAATATTTTTTGGTCAACGAAGAGTTTACAAGAATTTATAATTTTTTCGACATTTTGCTACTTTGTTGTTATGCGTTCGTGTATTGTAAATGAGATTTAAGAAATCATATACCCAATGTAGGAGTAAAAGAAACTAACATTGACATTTTCAATGAAATACAATATAACGATTAATAAAACAACAACTGATAGAACAAACAAGATTAGATTTCAATTTCAAAGGCATGAATAAAAAAAAATCGATACATTAAAAAAGTAATATTGTCTTAAGATTTATTGTTTCTCTGAAATACACTCTATTTAAGAGATCGAAGAGAAGTATCTACGGAATAGCCAAAACATTCTTCCCCAAAAGTAGTTTTTCATATGATAGATAGCATTATCAAGGTTTTATTTCAATAAAAGAATATTGAAAGTGCTGCTGAAAATAATTACCATTAGCTGATTCGCAAATAATATTTGGCAACGTTTCCTTTATGTCGGTTTCACTTTGACTTGACACTATGACTTCTTTTTATGAGAATATGTCAAAACTGATGTCAATAAAACGGCTACTCGAGGTTTGAACAATGTAAAGATTAGAATAATTCTAGACATAGCAGTAATTAAAGAACCAAACGTTATGAAATTTTATAAGGGGATCAAAAAAAAAATATTAAATTTTCATATCTTGCCTAGAGACAATTATTTTAACGAGCACTTGTTAAGTTTGTCTATAGAAATAAAAACTTGATGATATCATCTATCATACAGAAAAATCAATCGATAAAAGTCAATCAACAAATTTATGCGAAAAACCAATTTTAGCTATGATTATTTGAGACAATATGTACATTTATCGTTTACAGATTTTTTTTTCAATTCTCAAATCTTTAAAAAGTGTTTCATTAGTCGCTGAAAACACGTTAAAGCCGTAGAAGTTTCGATAACTATGAGAGTTTAAACATCCAAAACATGTTAAAAATCATTAATCAATTAATCAAACAGTTTCAACAGTTTCCATAGTTAGATGTTCAAACGCTCTTTCATGAGCATCGTTTCGGCCTCGGTCGTATTGCTCATAATTCTGCATGTTCCAATATGTCGTTAAAAAATTTTCGAAGAGATATACCCAGTCAAGTGAATAATGAAGAAATGGTCATTAAAATGCTTTATTACTTGTAGCTAGCCCATTTCGACTATTAAAATACATCTTTTCAAATAAATAATGGTGAAATGGCCATTAAAACGAATAATAATTCATTAATGAATAATTTTGGCCATTTCACAATTACGGACTCTGTTTTTTTTGAGTTTTAAACTGATTTGAAAAATATTTATAACTTCAAAAATTTATATGAATTATTAATGTTTGTTTATCAAACTTTTTTTTTTTCGAAATAGCCAAAAATATTCTTATAAACTTAACCGCTTAAGTGTCTATGGAAAGATGCGACTCTGATGAAATTACACTTAATAGCAGCCGAAAAGCTGTTGTTTGTATGATAAATCGAAGTAGAAAGATTTTATTTTATGTGACCAAGTCTTCATAAAAAAACAGGATGCATAAGTTACCTCATATTATTCTAATAATCTATAGAAAATTATACAAAGCATGTTTTTCAAATGACATTGTAACAAAAACTCTCGAATTGTACATGACACCGTTGATAATAACGAATACTTAAGAATATTTATATAAACTTATTGGTTTATTTGACTTTTTTACAAAAGTTTTCATTAATTGAACAAATATATTTAGTTCTTTCTACAAAGATATTTCTATACTAGTCGATCACTTAAATATTTTTCGTGCGCACTATTATAGCGTTTTCTCTAATAATATAATACACATCTTTGTATACATTGCTAATTGACACATCAGGTCCAACTATAATACAGTATTTTCTTCTCTTATTCTATTCTCTTTAAAAAAAATATTTATGTACTGATCGTAACATTCTCATGTTCTATTTTCTTCTCCATCGTTATAGAATTACCCGTAGTTTAATAAATTGCAAAGAAAAGCGAATCGTCAGAAATATGTATAAAAACGTAGGAGGAATAGCGAGGTTGACCGTGTAATTAATGATTTTTCACTACATATTTAATTATATATCAAGTATAAATTTGGTTTAATCGATCTACTTTCTTGCACGATTCTATTAATACCTTTAACATTCATATTGTTTTTATGAAGAACAGTAATTAAGAGCAAGAAATGGAGAGAAAGATGTGCATGTGAACTGACTACGATTGGTGTATTCAGACACAATGCATAGATAATATATATGCGTCTATGTTCACTTCTAATTTAATGCAAGTAAAGCTATTATAAATGGTCGGATGAAAGTAACACTTTAGATCAATCACAATTTCTTCTCACTAAGCTGTTATTACATTTCATCAGACAATTGTTGAAAATAGAGGTTAAATTAGAGAGATATATTTTGAGTAATAAATGAAAAACCTAAATTTGTAGTCTGTCTCATTAATTTTTATTAATAAGAAAAGACACACATTGTGAATATAGAACAAGTATTGTCGTAAGGTGATTCGAAATTTTTTTATTTCAATTATGTATTTAATTATATGAAAATCTAATAAGATCATATCGATTCGATCTTTTTAACATTATTTATTCATCTCACTACTATTCTGTTCGCTATATTCAACTATATATGATTGACTAATTTTTATTGGTCACATATAGTCTTTGTCTCAGAACAAAGAACAATGCTATAACTATAAAAGGAAGGAAAGAGAAGGAGTCCTATTTCTTTTAAAGATTGACGCATCAGTTGTCACATATCGTTGTGTTCATATCCGACATAATCAGGAACATCTTGGACGAGTTTAAATAGTACTAACTAAGAAGTTAACCTTCCCATTTATAATATTTGAGACTTTTTTGAATATTTCCTCCGCACAAGATGTTTATTCAGATATTCTAGATTATTCGTAAAATGCGCTAGGACAATCGACTGTCATTCATAATTTTCTGTGTTTTACTGAATAAGATAAACGACACTCAATCTTTTCTTATTTAAGTAGAAACAACATTGAGACGGAAATTTCTATGACTAACATGTTAGTATACATTAATTATGGACACGTACTATATATGACTTAAATATATGATCTAATTCTCAGTGTTCCATTTAAAGTGAGAAAAATAGCTGTGTTATTGTTTTTGATCAGCTTATAATACTTTTTTCTGATGTTGAATCACGTCCCTAGAATTTTTGGTCTATTTATCTTCCACACAATCGCCATAGTATACTAAGAGTGTCGAAGTAAACACAAAATTACAGTACGGTTTATTCGTTAAAAAAGGATTAAAGTGATTCTTTTGTGTGAATATTACAGATTCTTACAGAGAAAGAGTAATATAAATAATTAGCCGAAAAGGTCAGAAATAATAAATTTGAGGTAGTTAAATACTGTTCGACAAATTTATTTCAATTTTAATTATTTTATTACAATTTAAGTGATGCTTCTTTCTTCTTCGAAGATGATCTTTTCAATGTTTGATAAAAATTGTACAAATAATTTAATTACGAAAACAAAATAAAATGAAAGAAAAATAGAACAGGCTGTATATTTCTTTTAGTCTAATTTCATAGTGGTACAGAATCCAAAACGATTATAATACCGACCAGGTAGGCGCGATTCTTTTTCGTACGACTATGAAATTAGACTAATAGAAATATATAGCCTGTTTTATTTTTTTTCCATTTTATTTTGTTTTCGGGATTAATTTATACAATTTTTATGAAACATTGAAAAGATCATCTTCGAAGAAGAAAGAAGCATGACTTAAATTATAGTAAAATAATTAAAATTGAAATAAGTTTATCGAACAGTATTTAACTATCTCAAATTTATCGGTAATTTTTCTATCAACAAAATAGATCAGAAATAATGCGAAAAAATGATTTCTGTTGTTCACATTATTTTGTTATCCTTTTTAACCATTTTCACTTAATCAGAAGTAACCATTTTAATGCTTACACGAAAAGCATTTTCAGGCATTTTTTTGTGACCGTTTTACATCATTATAATTATGTATGTTTTTCAGCATTTTAATACCATTTCACCATTTTGTTCCCTGCCTGGAATTTGGATGTGAGTGTGTACAAGGCAAGAGGATTCACATTCATACACATAAATTTTAACATATCATAAAGTTCCATACTTATTTCAGAAAGCTTTTTTTCATGGAATTACCATTTGCGGAATCATATAAAATTAAAATGGTGGAGCCTCTTCGCAGAAGCACTCGTGAAGAAAGAGAAACATGGATAAAAAATGCAAAATATAATCTTTTCAACTTACGCAGCGATCAGGTGTTCATTGACTTGCTTACCGACTCGGGTACAGGCGCTATGAGCGATAGACAATGGGCGGCTATTATGCTTGGGGATGAATCTTATGCTGGCGCAAGTTCGTATTATCATATGAAGCAAGCAATTAAAAACATCATGGGCTTCGATTATTTTCTTCCAACTCACCAGGGTCGCGCCGCAGAAAATGTCTTGTTTTCTTCTTTCGTAAAAGAGGGCGACATTGTTCCAGGAAATGCGCACTTCGATACTACAAGAGGACATATTGAACTACGCAAGGCTCGTCCCGTGAATTGTGTAATAGATGCCACTTTCGATACAGCTCTTATCCATCCGTTTAAAGGAAACATTGATTTGGACAAACTGGAAAAAGTATTAAGTGGAACACCGAAGGAGAGAATTCCCATGATTGTTATTACTATTACTTGCAACACTACAGGCGGCCAACCGGTTTCTATGCAGAATCTACGGGAAGTGTCTGTTCTTGCGAAAAAATATAGCATACCTGTTTGTTTTGATTCAGCACGGTTCGCTGAAAATGCTTATTTCATCAAAGTTAGAGAAGAAGGATACGAACATAAATCTATAAAGGAAATTGTTAAAGAGATGTACCAGTACGCTGATTTGGCAACTATGAGCAGTAAGAAAGATGCAATTGTCAACATTGGTGGATTCATTGCCTTTAAAGAAGAAAGTGATTTTCAACATGCATGGATATATGAAATTCTGTTTGAAGGTTTTATTACGTATGGAGGGATGGCCGGTCGTGACATGAATGCTCTTGCACAAGGTCTCGATGAAAGCACAGAATTCGATTATCTTGAAACTCGTATCAAGCAAATTGAATACCTTGGAAAACGGCTGACAGAATTTGGAATACCTGTTCAATTACCTTATGGTGGCCATGCTATTTTCATTGATGCTAAGAAGTGTCTTCCACACATTCCAAAGGAACAGTATCAGGCCCAAACTCTGACAGTGGAACTTTATATTGAAGCAGGTATTCGTGGTGTAGAAATCGGTACCATTCTTGCCGATCGCGATCCGGAAACACTGGAAAATCGTTATCCTGAGTTAGAATTTTTAAGGCTTGCTGTGCCTCGTCGGGTCTATACAAATAATCACATGGATGTTGTCGCTTGCGCCATGAAAAATATAATAGACAGAAAAGATTCAATCAAAACGGGATTTAGAATTACGAAAGAACTTCCAATGCTCAGGCATTTTACCGTTGAGTTGGAACGAATATAAATGAAACCAAACGCAAACGCCTTGTTATAAGGGTATTTCGTCGTAAGAAAATAAACCATATAAACTAAACATCATATTTTTTTTCTTTATACCGACGTGTTTGGAATTTTTGTCCTCAATTTCCGCATTATAAAATATTAGCAGTTAGCTCTTATCATACACACATTCATTTGATCGTTCACGTCGAGTGTGTATAATGATCAATGATGTAACATCCTCAGATGCTCCAAAAAGATCATGCATATTTTTTCTTCGTATGAACTAAAGGAGTATTTTGAAAACAATTGATGCGAGAGTGGATGTGGCTGTTGGTATGGAGTGTTAATGTTGGTAACTTGGCCTTCTTGTAATTGTGCTTCACACTTGATGTTGATCATCTATACCTATTCAGTCTCGTTTACTCATAAGATTTTTGAAACAGATTTTTTACAGAATTTTTGCTACAAAATTCAGTAGTCTCCCTAAAGTCACACCGAAAATTGATATTTGATATTTGATTTGAAGCTTTGCACAACAGAAAATTTCCTTTTTTCAAACAACATAATTTCAAATATGCATATCTTACGACAGAAGTAAGCTAAAGCCGTGATACTTCACTGCAATGAATTTGTCCATCACAGTGATTCGTTCATTACTAGGTGGTATTAAAGATTATTGCTGATCTTATTTAATTCCTAAGAGCAATACCACATATTTGAATAATAACAATATCTTATTTGAAAATTGTTCCATCAATAAGTTTTCTTTCAAACATGGCGATCAACAGATAGTCAGATCCAATGAAAATAGTCACTTTCAGATCTATTCCTGATGAAAAAAAAATCAAGGAAAGCTAAACTCCAATGAAAAACAAGAAGATTGTTCGGTTGATTTTTTTTCACATTCTCAATGGAAACCATGAGCCATTATAGATTATTCAATGGCCATAGTTAGATATAATGTACTGTTCGGTTATACACGAAGGAATGGATATTTATTGAGGAAAAAAAGAATTTAAACAAAAAGAAAAGAAAATAGAAATCTATCTTGACCTTCTTCTTTAGCCAAAGATGAACATCGGAAAATCGCGTTAATTTCTGCCATGTAAACGAAAAGGTGAAATACAAGCATTTCATCAAAATTAATATCTCATCCAGATCATGACGAAAATGAGACAGGTAGGTTTTACCTTTAAATTGGAAACTTCTAACCACGTAATTGAGTGTGGGTGTGGGTGGGTGTGGATGTGGCTGTGGATGTGGGTGGGGTGTGGGTGGGTGTGGATGTGGCTGTGGATGTGGGTGGGGTGTGGGTGGGTGTGGTTCCTGTCTTAACTGACACCCACACCCACACTCACCCACATCAACACCCACCCATACCCACACCCACACCCACTCACACTAACTCTCATCCACACCCACACCTACATGTTTTCTTTAGTTATTTTTGCCAATGACAAACGTGACACGATTAATTTTATTTTCTCTATCGAAGGAGGTATTACTCGAAATATACTCATGTTGAATAAAGTTAATATAAAAGGTAAAGTAAGGGTGTGGGTGTGCACATTTAGTGCAGCAGAAGTACCACACACGCACATCCACACCCATCCACAAGTCCCACTTACACCCACACCCTCTAGTTGACATGCTTTGGACATCACGACTTTTTCATGTACTTGAACCAATTGGAGTGAGCATTTTTCCTGAATCGAAGATTACATTTGGTTCAAAATTATTGCACTAGAATTTATAGTTAGAAGAAGAAAAAATAAATTCGAATGAACGGACTGGAGAATATGTCGATCTTTCATCAACGTGGTTTCGATGTTCGTCGTTCCAACAAAAAACTATGAATACTGATTTCATCCTACACGTTTTAGCATTTTAACATGTCTTGAAGTGTAGGTGTGGGTGTGGGTGGGTGTTGATGTGGGCTGATTGATTTTTTTTTTCTACACCATCCCTTCATTCATTAATATAATAGATCAATATGGTGCCGTCTTTTTCCTCTCTTGATCATTGGCAATTTCTGAATTTATAGTCATTGACGGACAATCTATCGTACTGGCAAATTTTTGAATCGTTGAGTTTAACACAAGAATGAATATTAATTATTCTTGTGAGCAGTTTTATTAACATATCGAAACTGAAAAATATTTATTGAACTACATCTGGAGAAATGAAAAGCATGAAGAATAATATGAAACCTGTATTCTATAACTTTTATTCTTTTCGAAAGACTTATTTATCTGCATAATTCATATATATGCTTTGTTTCACTATTTTCGTGACCAAGTTTTGAGTTCGGCGAAAGAATCCAGCACTTGATGTCTTTGGATCGATGTGTAGATATGGGTGCACTGAAAAAAAAGGTATTTTACAGAACCATTTTTTAAACGAATTCGAAACCCTCGAAAGGGTTTCGTAAAAACGTTGACACTTTCAAAATGATTGTCATCGATCAAGAAGTCTTTTTTAAGGGTTCGGTAGGGTTTGGTACGAAACCTAAAAAGGTTTAGAATTCGTTTCAAAAATCGGAACCTTTTTAGGTTCCGTATCATGCGCGAAACCTTTTTTTTCTTCACAGAACCCTTTTTTTCACGAAACCCTCAAAGGTTCAGCAATGTACCTTTATTTTTCAGTGTGGGTGTATAATATAGATATGGGAAAAGAGAAGAAGCCCAAACACTTTAAGACAGTTAATTCGGGACGAGATTATTGATCTTTTTCACGTTCAGTATTAGGTTTAACAATTGGTTGTAATTATTTGTCGTACTTCATTAAATCCTCAATATCATGAAAAGCAAGACAAATAAATGTACATTGAATACCAGCTAGATGATCAAGAAATTCTAAATCAAAGAACATATTTTTTTTAATAGTCACAGATATTTTTCTTGTTGTTCAATCTTTTAGAAGACAAAAAAATAAAAGCTTAAGTACATCGACTTCCTATTCTGGTTCGAAAAAAATGAAGCTTTTCAATTTCGATATTTTTATAAATTATAAATTTTCATAGTGTTATTCTTTATGAAATATTGCATGACGAAAAATGACACAAGGTACTCTTTAGATCTCAGAAGACTATAAATAGACTTTAAAGAGTACTGTCTAAAAGAGCATAAGAATGAGATGTTGTCACATTTTCTATGATGCTCTCTTAAAAAGTTATGCCTTTTACAAAAAATGCGAAAAAAAAACCAAATTTATCATAGCGTTATTAGAAAGGTATTTTTATTTTTTGTAATGTTGGTAACTTTGTGACAGAAGGTCGCAGAACATGTAGCAACCTTCCATTTTATTGTGCTTCGGAATATTACTTAGAAAAACTAATTTAAGCACAATCTGCGGAGACCTAAATAATATCACGTCTGGTTTTTCTCAAATCCTCCTTTGATGGTGTATATATGATATTTTGGTATGAAATGCATTTAATAGAGAACTTCATTGACTATTCAAATCACTATTTGGTACTGCAGAAAAAAAAATGAAAAATATACGTAGAAGGCTTAGAATATTTTTTAACAGCATTACGGCAATGTTGAAAATAGAAACACGTTTAGGCGCTTTGGGAAAATTTTTCTAATTGTATCTCGAATGCATTTTGATATGAAATCACATTCCGACACGTTTGATAAAAAAACCGCGTTTAAATGTATTGATTTTGCGCTTGACATTTACATGGTGAGACCATACTCATTTTTAATGCCTATTTCCACCTTGTCTCTACATTTTTACAACTATTCTTTTCTTTAATGATTGTCAATTACAGAATTAGAAATTGAATGAAAAGTATATGTAAAGATACAAAAGATATAAACTAAACAACAAGGAGCACAGTGAAAGTCTGAAAATTCGTATAAATTGTGAAAACTATCAAAGACATGTCTTCAATTATGAATAATCATAAAACAACGACAACTTTGCAATTTATTTGTCATGCATGGGTGAGAAAATTTCAACTTTGTTACCTCTTTTGATCGTGACACGCAATATAAGTAATTTTTTTTCTGTTTTATGTTTTCTTTTCAAGGTGTACACACACGTGACAATCAATACAGTGTTACTTTGAGAAAGTAAAATAAAAAGAACGACGTACCGTATATCGTTGTCACAAGATACGTCTTCTTTCCATTTTCTTTTGATGATATTTTGTGCAGTCGTTATGAAGTAAAACCATATTCTCATCGTTGTGAAGTTCATCATTTGTACAGAGTCATCATTAATATTATACAAATAGAATATTAAACTCTTCACTTTGCTGTCTAGAACGATCTTAATAACAAAGAGCAATTTAAATATCAATCTGCACGTGAGTAGCTTCTATGCTTTGTTTTCTTAAAAAATCCTTATTTCACAAGCTGCTGTAAATAGTCGTATTGCTCGCTTTCTGAATTCATTTGTTAAACTTATTATGTGTATATACTATAGTATGCTTTCTAAACAATTTGAGCAAACGTATCAAAATATTTTTTTTTCTCCTAACCAAGGAGACAAATAGTAGGATGCAGTTCTGAATTAGCCTGTAATTTAAAAAGTGTTTGACTTTCGTTAGAGCTCTTAGCAAGTCTTAGCGTTAACATTAATT